GTAATGACCGCTTAACCGACTTTTAGTTGTACAAAATATATTCTGGGTATGGATTAACTCTATTGATACACCGAAACGTTAAATATTTGTATTACTATTGAAGCTTTCAAACAGTACAAAGAAATCAAATGTGATATTGCTTTCATGGAAAAATACCCTTAATAGAAATTAGTTGTTCTACCAGAACCGAAGTTTAAAATATGTTTATTTCGGGATCCTCTTTCTGATCAGCTTTCTTTTCCTCAAACTTTGAAGATCATTGTATTTCACAGTACACTATTCCAAAAGTTCCATGCTTAACTTAAAGCTCTTTTTATTCGGCTTTCGTTTTACTGCAACTATTCTTCCAACTTTAAAGGCTATTTAAGTTTTACTTGGCTTTAAAATTAATTTAAGCTGGCAACTCTGTACAAATAATGAAAAAGTTCTTGAACATCTCCAACATAAAGGTGTTTCCAATAAAAGGTGTCACTTTTGAAGATGGAATTTCTTGACATTTGAGAGTAAATACTATGCGAGTATTAGAAATGGTGCGAAACACGTTTCAACAACGCATTGAATATATTAAAACTCACTATAAAAATGAAATCTTAAAACTAAAACATTTTTCGTTCGTCCTGAGGCCCCCTTTCGGTCCGCAATACAGAAATTGGTGGAAAATTTCGGGACAAACTAATGATGCAAAGAAGAAAATACTTCTACATGGACGTCGCTCAAGAGCAACTGAAAATATTGCAGCTGTCGCCCAGTGTTGAAGAGAACCGAGGTGTGTCCATTCGTCGTCGTTCTTCGAAATTGGACATTCCACAAACGTCATTCTACCGTATTTTGAATAAAGACTTGCGTCTTAAGGCTTGTAAACTTCAGTTAGCACAACAACGTCGTGACTTTGGTGATTGGGTTCCTGAAATGCATGAAAATGGTCCCAAATTTCATCGAAACATCATCTTGACTGATGAGGCCTGTGTCCATCTCGATGGCTACGCCAATAAACAAAACTATCGCTTCTGGCGCTCGGAAAATCCAACATTTATTATTGAAAAGACTCTTCATTCTCAATTTTTAACCTTTTCGTGTGGTTTATGGTGCGACGGGGTCATTGGACCTTACTGTTTTTACCTGTTTTACTGTACCCTACCGAGAGATGATTAATGAGTTTTTATGCCCGGCATTGGATAGTATTAATCTGGACAATGTTTACTTTCAAAACGATGACGCTACATGTTACACGAGCAACGAAACCATCGATCTTTTGGCAAAAATTAGCGGACCGTATTATCTCTCGAAGAGGTGATTGCACTGTCTACCGATATCGTTCTTGCGACATCTTTCACACCAGAAGTCCTCATTGCGAATGATTAGAAAGGGGTTAGGGAAATAAAAACTCATATCAACCAAGAAGAAAGCAGAAATAAAAGAAAAGTTAACTCTAACAAATTTCAACAGAAGTGAAATACTAAAGGTAATAAGTTTCAATGCCAAACTCACCGTATCCCTATGGGGGAAATGAACATGGAAACAAATTCAAGTACAAAAAGTACACACTCTCATATGTGGTGTATAGATGGGTCACAGCCTATAGAGGATGTAGTTCCGGGGTCACGGGCCCAGGACAAAGATATCAAAATTCCCATGTGGATATATCTCAAGTAGAGGTGTTTGCCTTACAACATGAGCAGAACTCATACGAAAGTGGTTAACCAATATATTGTAAATTGCACTGAAAACATTATCATCTTGTACAATTAAGTCCTATATTGTATGGGAATGTGTCAGGAATCTCAATAAAGTGGGCGGACGGAACAAAGTTTAGCTCATCTGGGTTCCGAGATATACAGGTATTGAAGGAAATTAAATAGCAGATAGACTTAAGAAGGGAAGAAATCAATATAAGAAACAGGTACTGGTATACTAGTGACGCGATGAGACAATCACGAGGGCACAATATACCACTGGCCGCGGTATCGTTCTTAAAAATCTATCTATCTATCTTACACCTTACGACTTCCCCCATTTGGAACCATGTGAAAGATAGGGTCTACGTAAACAGGTAAACATCGATTCAAGACCTCAAAGATAGAATTGGTGAAGCTTTGAGGGCATACAACAGCAGCTTTGTGATGGGAAATATCATAAAAAGAATACGGTCTTATAAGCGTAGCCGTGGCATCTATTTGGCTAATATTGTTTGCCTTTATTGAAATAAACATCCGATCGTTTATCTCCAAAAATAATTTTTTTAATAACAAAAGAGCTCTTCTTATTGGAAAGCACTGTATTTAAAAATTTATATACAGCCTTGACCAAAAGTATTAGGCCCCACTCATTTTTGAATTTTTTGTTTTATCATGTGAAGTAATGAAGTTTTATTAGTAATAATAACATTAATATTTAGTAAGTCCACCCTTCGATTTAATAACAACAGCGATTCTCTAAGGCAAGCTGCGTACAAACTTTGCACATTCATCCGTACTTATAGTGTACCGCTCGTTAATTAAGGCATTCTTTAAGGAAGTTTTTGATGTTATACTGTGTTTCTTAATCTTGGGTTTTAAAAGAGCCCACATGTGCTCGATGGGATTAAGATCTGAAGACTGTGCAGGCCAATCTAACAAAACAATGTTGATACCTCTAAATCAATGCATCGTAGACGCTAATTTGTGACAAGGAGCATTGTCTTGCTGAAATTAAACCCCGTCTAAATTAGTATAGTACTTTTCACTGTCCATGCGGCCCTTGCAAACGAACATTTCGTCGACACCATTAGCAGCCATGCAGCCCCAGATCATAATGCTGCCTCCTCCATGCTTAACAGTGGGTACCACGCAATCTGGTTGATACTTTTCTACAACTCGTCCCCTCACGAACGTCGCACGAGGTGTTTCAAATATCCGTAGAAATTAATAAATAATGTTTTCATAAGATTTGTATTATGTCTTCAAAATTGCTCTAGAGTAAGAAACTATAGCTGTTAATACTTTAAGGCGATCTTAACTAAGCTTACCACGAACTTTGATTCATCAGACCACACAACATTCGCCCAATCTTCTTCAGTGAAATGTTGGTATCGGCGTGGCCATTCCAAACGATTTTTCCTATTCTTTTCTGAGATCCACGGCTTCTTTCGGGCTTTATATCCTTTAAACTTGCTTCCAGAAGTCTTGTTCTAGCTCTTCGAGCAAAAACTGTTTTACTAATTCATCCGAAAGGGCAGCTGCAAGGCAGAAGAAGATTTTTTGAAATCCTTGAAAGACTCGCGTATAAGTATTTGGTCTTCTCGTTTACTGGTTAGATGTTTCCTTCCACTTTTTGATTTATTTTTGTGGGATTTCGTCTCCACAAATCGCCTGATAGCACATTGGAACACTCACCGCGAACATCCCACCAAATTTGCAATCTCATCATGAGACTTACCTTCTTCAATTAGAACTTGAATTCTAACTCTATCATCGTAATTAATTTCACTTTTTTAGGTACTTCAGTAAATATGAACTGTTTTTGTAAGATTGGTAACTTTTCACTTAATGTGATTTACACTTTCACTTTCAAATTTTAAATGCGAAAATATTTTATGAATTGCTTAAAATGACAACCTTAATTTAATAATTCCAATTTGATTGGAATTGATTTAAGGGTTTCCTAGCCTACATAGTCATAAAGTACATATCTTCATTGTATATATACATATACAGTGTGTCCCAAAAATAACCGAACTTTATATTTAAATCATACAACTTACAGCGCCATCTATTGAAAATTTGCAACATTAAAAAGATACATTCATCCTCTTTCAAACGCGCCTAACATCATGTAAGTCGGATGACAGATGTAAAAGTGACAGCCATTTCAATAATACTAAAAGTGTGCTAATGGTTCAAAAATAAAATGGAACAAAGAGCAAATATAAAATTTTGTGTCAAACTTGAAAAAAAAAGTTAATGAAAAAAGTTTAGTGTTATGATTGTATGAGTCGTACGCAAGTTTATACGCGGTTTACACGATTTAGAAATGGTCGTGAGGATTTAAATGACGACCCTAGAGCAGGACGTCCAGAAACTAGTAATCGTGCGGAACTGGTGGAAAAAGTCCGTGAAATCATTGGTATCGAAGCAAATTTTACTACGAGAATGTTGGCTGAGGAATTGAATACGAGTAAAAACACTATTTGGAGAATTTTAACTGAAGATTTGGGGAAAAGAAAGGTCTGTGCGCGATTTGTTCCACATGAATTAAATGACGACCAAAAACTCGCTCAAATTTTTAACGAAAAAAGGGATTTCACTCATAGACCATACTCCGTATTCGCCTGATCTATCACCATGTGACTATTTTTTATTTTCAAAACTCAAAACCAAGATGAAGGGAGCATTTTATGATGATATCCCAGCCATTCAAGCAGCCGTAACCGAGGTACTGAAGAACATTTCTATAAATAACATAAAAAAATCTATGCATACGCTGGTGGATCGTTCCAAACGTTGTGTGGAGTCAAATGGAACTTATTTTGAATAAATAATAACTTTCAAAGATAATATAATGTGTATTTAATTTTATATCCAAAAAGTTCGGTTATTTTTGGGACACACCGTGTATGTTTATGTTACCCTATTTAGTAAGAATTTGTAATACACCTACTCCTGCCCAAGGATAAATTATATAAAATAATATTTAAAAAATTTTTTATTGCATCCATAGGTTAAGTTATCCACTTAAATAGTAATTAAGCTGTTTTTACCATTTTGTTTTTCCTCTGTTTGTTCAATCATCTCAGACAGTATCTATGTAAGCAATATGCTCATTAAAAATTCTTAACAATCTTAAGAATCATTCATTAACCAACATTGTATTTTGCGATTTCATTCGATATCACTTCACTTTGAATTTAAGTAGAAAATTAATACGATTAAAAAATGTTGTAATTGACTTTAATTCTTTTTGATTTTTCTTCTCTTCTTTTTCTTCTTATTCTTCATCTCTTACTTTATTGCTTGCGCTTACAGACACACTCAGTCACAGCACCAACGCAACACGACAAGAGTATGGGTAATACGCAAACAAACAATACTCTGGCCGCCCACGAGCCGCAAACACCAACTAACGGCACAGGCGGCGGCGGCGGCGGAACATTGAAAAGTCGTCGCGGTAGTCGAGTGAAAGTTTTTGCACGTTTCAGCCAAAGGAAACAATCGCAACTGCCACCAACGTCGGCAGCAAGGGAGGCCGCCACACCCACATCCACATCCGCTTACGATGACTCGATCGAGGAGGAGCTGATGCTACGCCAAAGTCATGCAGCTGTGTTAAGGCAATTGGAAGATGAACAAATGGATTTCCGTAAGTTTGTGGCTTTCCAATTTTATTCTATTCCGCTATTGTTGTTGTATCAGTTTGGTTATCAACTACTTTCTTGCTTTTACTTTTTTGCTTTTCAGCCTTTTTGTTTTCGCCCTTTTTGTTTGTTGTTGGTGTACATATTAAAAACTTCCTCCTTAAATCCTCCTGTACTCGCACTTGTAGCTTTACAAAATACTATTTCACAACAATTGCTTACTTACGAAGTTCCAACAAATTGTTTTTATTATTGTTCTTGTTATTGTTGCTGTTCTTGTTCTGGTTCTTGTTCTTGTTTTTTTTTCTTTGACTTGCTTGTTACATTTTGCCACTTCCTTAGGAGTTGTTGGGAAATTTTCGGTAGCAGTCAAAGTATATACGTACACTATGTATGTATGTATGTATGTATGCGACTATGTATTTGTAAATTAAAAGGAAATGAAATTTGTAGCGCTAAATATTTACTGATTTTGGCAGTTTGCTGATTTACTAGCATTTCTTATTATAATTGATATTTATTGTTGTGCTCTTTTCTTTATTTGCTTTTAACTTTATTTTTTGCTACTTTTATAGATCTTTTGATTGTCTTTTGGAAAAGTTGGCGTAATCGAAGAAAAAATGTATTTTCTTTTACGTAAAGTTTCAACTTAAATTCGCTATATAACTGTATACTACTGTTCTTATTGTTCTCTTAGCGTCCGCGTAGGAATGAGAAAAAATGGCAATTTCACTTTAAGCTAAGATTTTCATGTAAACTTGTTTGGTGGGCTTGTGGTTTAAGAATTTTAATCAGTGTCTTACAAAGGATCAACCGTTATATGAAAGTAATTGGAGCATAGAAAAAATAGAGATAATTAAAAGATAATAACTGAAATGAAAAGAAAAATAAAAAACGAGCAAATAAAGAAAAGCTGCCTTTGTAGCTTTCATGACCAAGGTTTATATATGTAATACAAGGTTACGACAACCGTCAACGTCACCGAACCAACTTCCTCATATATACAGTAGACGAGATTTGATATATATGTATATTATCAGAAAAAAGTAGAATCTTCCATTAAAAAAAGATATGTAAGGGATTCTAATAGATTAAATATGAGAAAATGCAAATTATAAAAGGTGCGTTCCAAAGTAAACAGGACTTTAAAAAAAAACAGAATAAACTCTCGAAACCTGAAGCAAAAAACTGAAATCAGAAAATACTAAAATTCCTTCTGTCTGTCAAATATTGCCACGAGTAGGTTTTGTTTTCCATTTTCCATTGCAGGATTTCGTAATGCGGCGTAATGAGTAATTTTTGGCTGTTGAGAAAGTTGTCAGTCAAAAATCTTGGCTTGTGTGTTATTTATTATTCCATGGATTTAGTTTAGGAATTTGTGCAAATATCACTTAAAAGCATTGCACATATCTGTATACAACTGTATGTATTTTTGTAGTTATGGAAAATCATTTTGTATTTATTTAACACCATCAAAAGTGTTGGCACACCAAAACTACTTTACTGCTGATTTGCATGCCTTTGATGCTGAAATAATTTGTGTAACAACAACAACCGATTATTATATATATTTTTACTGTTATATGCAAACGTGCTATCTACAATCGCAATACAAATTCATAATTCATAAGAAATACATAGAATTTGAAATTGAATTTTTTAAATTTTTTTTTTGCAAATCTTTCACCTCAAAGTAATGACGAAAAGAAGTGTGCGCTTTTAGGCGTTCATGCATGCCAACCGCAAGCAAAGCCACAGATAGAATGCAGTTAGTGCAAGGTGGCAGTACAAGGCGCTGTCGCGAATTCGAATACCAACTTTGTGTAAATTTAGAAGTATGGAGGTGTGAATGTGTGCGTGTGTCTGTGTTTATCTACATAACCCATTCAAGCCCATGTAATAAACCCGTTCCATGCGAACAGTTGTAACTACACCAACCATATACAAATACTGAGGCTCCGCTGATACAGAAGCCGCGACGCATCAACACCGTTGTGGCTTGTACAACAAATCTGTCAGCTTTCGGTTGAAATACACACACACACACACACCCATACAGTCATGTACAAGTGGAGCTCCAGAAGCCAGCTTGGCGGCATTTATAGCCGCATGCACGCGGTATTTGGTATATATGTATGTGTGTGTGTGTATGTCACACACGTTTTGCCACTCGCCATTTCGTAATACCACTTTGTATTGCTGCCATTCGTCACGCGGCTAAAAGTCAAAAGTCAAAATTCAAAATCAAATTCCGTACGCTTCAAATATTTTTATGCCATTTTTTTTTCTTTATTTGCGCAATTCTCTTTCTCTATTCTAACAAACATTTCCAATTCATTTTTTGCCATTTCGGCTTTGAATGTATGTATTTGTGAGTGTGTGTGTATGTGTGTGGGTTTGACTGATATTCCACTAGAATTTCATTATTTGCCCATGATGGTGATGCGACGCGAAAGAGTTGAGCGTTGTGTTGTTGCGGTGTGATGTCTGGTGTGTGTTGTGTTACGGGCGCTCTGGGGAGTTTTGTTGCTGAAACGTGGTCAATTAAGTTTGCAACGTAACGGAGCGCAAATATGCACCCACTTTTATGCATATTTATGTGTGTATGCAGGAATGTACACTGCCGAGAATACATTTATGTAGAGATTTTTTATGCAATTTTTGAACTTTCAATTACAAATTTGGTATATTTTCTGTATTCGCGGTAGTGCTATTTTCACTAAAACATATTTAATCCTGCCATGAATATATTTTTATGAAAACTAAAATTACAAATATAAAATAAAAAAATAAATAAATAATAATAATTAATTTGCAAATTTATAAAAGAAAAATTAAAAATAAATTAATTCATATTTGCGACCTGAAAAGCCTTTTGCTTATTTATTTCATCTTATGAAAAAAATAGTAATTTAAAACTTATTAAAAATAACTAAATTTTTGTAGTTGTAAGTTATGAAAATTTTCTTTTCTTGCAATACTCTTACGCAGCCAATTAAATTTTATTTATTAAAATATTTGATCAACTAAAATAAAGTTTTCAAAAATTTACATAAAAAGTCTTGAATTTTTTATTAGCACATAACTAAAATTTATTTATTTTGAAAAAAAATAAATTTCCATTATTTTCAATTATATAGCAAAAACTGATTTTTTCCTTATTTTGAAAATTTTACTTGAGTTTCTGCAATATTTTTCTGCAAGAAACAATATTGCAAAAAAAAAATCACACAAATAATGCAATAATAATTTCTACAAAAGATCTAAAAAAAAGATTTCACATATTTAATTCTTATACTTAAATTTCACTAAAATTACGAACTGTCCATTTTAATTACAAGCAATTCTTTTAGTTAATATTGTCTAAAAAATATGATGAATTGAAAAAAAAAATCGAAATTTGAATTTAAAAGTATTAATTAACATAATTTTCTCAAAACATATTAAATAAAATTTAATGAAATATAAATTTTTCTTCTAGTAAATAGTACTTTTTTACAAAAATTATAGGAAAAAGTTTTTACATGTGTTAAATAAAATATAATTTAAATTAAAACGTTTTCATTCAAATTATGCATATAATTATTTTGATTGTTTGTAATAATTTTGGGTAAATGCTTGAATGCAAAAAAATTTGTTTATTCAACACAAAAAACTGAATTTGGTGCAATCAGTGGAAACAACATTTCCCAGGAAATTTTGCCTTTGCTATACAATTTTTAACCATAAATTCAAATAAAAAAGTTTAATGCGAATATCATTTTAAAGAGATTAGTTTTTTAGAAGGTACCAATTTGTGATAAAAAATAAAAACAAAAAAAAATTCATAACCTCAATTATGATCACTAGTGTATAACACTGTATTATATCAATGCATGCATATATATAAATATGTGTGGGTCCGTACGTCTCTACTCGCAAATAATTCAATATTCATTTACAGTTAGGTTATAACTTGCCACAGAACTACAGCAGCGCAGCTAACGAATTATATCGTCGTTGCATTTCCCAACAACAACAGTGGTGCATCACAAAATACTAAACACATTCACATGTGTTACATGTATACATATATACATGAATATTCCTGCATATCCACATGAGTACCAATCTGCTAACAAATACACCGCATTAGCGCTTATTTCACTCGTCGCCAACTCTCATGTGGGTGCTGCTTCTGCAGGCGCTTTGGTGTTTGAATATTCGTACTTGGAAGAAAAAATAAAACAATTTTTCACAGGCAAATCATAAACTCGTGCATTCGTAGTAAAATATGAAAATGTACGTTTATGAGAGTATAAAACAGTTATATATGCTCATTGAATAATCGCAACATTTGCTCTTTTTTATTCAAATACTAACGCCTGAAAGTATGCAAAGTCAATTTTTGGTGGTGAGAGTAAATTAAAAGCGGTTTCGAATACTAACTGAGCTTGTGGCTAATGCGGACACACCAATGTTTCTGATACCGACATGAATTTTTTTATCTTTTCTCAAAAAAAAATTATTTCTCACCCGTTTATTGCATTGCAATTTAATTTAGCTTAATTTAATTTATTTTGCCTTATTTTATTTTAATTTTCTTTTTTTATAATTTTGTTTTATTTTTTATTTTATTTTCTTTTTTTAATTTTATTATTTTAATTTATTTGAATTTTAAGTTCAATTTTTTCATATTAATTTCAACTTTAATGTTAATCTTAATTTTAATTTAATTTAATAATAGTTTTATTTTTATTTTTAATTTTAATTTTAATTTGAACTTTAATGACAATATTAATTTTATTTTATTTCTAATTTTATTATAAATTTTATTTATTTTTAATTTTTATTTCTTTTTTTTTTTTTTTTTCATTTTTTTTTTTTTTCATTTTTTTTTTTTTATTCGTTATATGAAAAAATGGACCAACGATTCTTTAAATTAAGAATTCTCAAATATTTTCAATATCAGTGAGTTTCTTTGGGATTCAGACAGAAGATAGCACTTAACATTTCTTCAAATGTGGGGTCATATGTACCTCCAAAAGCAATATTTTTATATATTTTAGAAGCTCAAAATAAGTTATTAATAAGGACTCACTTTCAGGAATCGTTAAGATTTCATAAATTCATATTTATAACGTTTATACTATTTATGCCTAGAAATTTTCTTAGTTTTCTCAGTAGTCTTCTCGACGTCCATTGTAAAAAATACTCTTTCGCCTGTATCTATACATATAAATTTCTGTTATATTAACTAAATTCGTATTTACAACTTGCATGTGTTTTTTTTTGGAGTTTTTCAACCTATTTCCGAGTTAAAGTTCCGTTACAAAATGTAAGAAATATTTATGTAGATATGTTGTGTATATTAAAGCAATTTATCGATTTTAACACAAATATTTTGGACATTTCAATCAAAATGCTAATTCCTACAGGAAAGAGTCAAAAACCACATTCGGCAAAGAAAAAGTTCTCAAAATTATTCAGCAGAAGAGTTGAATGCGACGCAGAAGAGGTAGTGGTAATGAAAGATAACAAAAAAATGCCAACAACTGCTTCCAAACAAAAACGACCCGCACCAAAACCACCAGAATCAAAAGAAACGCCGCCAATTGTACCAGAAGAGAGTGCAACCTGTTCACGACAAGCGATAACAACTAAACAAGCCGAAACAATTTCACGAACAAGTGAAACGACAAAGCAAACAGAAAATTTTGAATATAAAGCACCCACCACAAGCGACGCAGCACTTCTGAGGGGTGAACAAACGATAAAGCAAGAACATGAAGATCACCGTGAATTCATTGAGCATCTCTTCTCAGCGGTCACCAGTAATAGCGGCAGCGAAGTAATGAGAACCGCAGTAGGCGACGAGGTAATCGACGCAACAGATGATGAGCGAGAATCTTTAGATTATGACGATGAAGACGCAGGCGATCACGCAGCCGAGTTTGATAATACAACAATAACAACAACGCCAACAGCAAACAATGATAGAAGTAAGCAAGCAAAACAAACACGAAAACATGGAAGATGACCAATTGGAAGCCACAACAGTTCAATTCACTGTGTTGTTGGCAACATTCCAAGTTCTTCCAATGCCGGCAAGTGTAGACAACAACGAAGGGAACTGATAGGGTACATAAACACACCGCTGCTGTGGTGTGTGCCATATAAGAAACACAATTCAAAAACTGTGGAGGGTAGAGCATTTAAAAACGTGATGAGCACAGCTTTACACTCATATATTTAAAGCAAACCACAAAAGAGCGGCTCAGTCTGAGAGCGTGTTGTCAGTGTTGCACAAATATGTTGTGATTATTGTAGAGTCAATAAGTCAGCAACATATTTGTTTTCGGTTTTTGTACATATGTGTTTTTTTCACATATGTATTTATTCCACTTCTTAAAAACACCACGACAAAATACTTAATTTTCGTTTTATGTATGATACAGTTTTAACTGATTTCCGATTAGTTCTTTCACTATTTAAGCATCTATTTCCGTACTAAGTGCTTACCAGGCGGGTCATTTAAACCGTTTTTGAGTATTGGTCTCATTTTTTTAAATTTAATTTATCGAAAAATTGAAGCCGAAAATGAGTAGTGAAAAACTTTCTTCTTACCGGAAGTGCACATGGATATGTAAGTCCTGTGTACATGTACTGGAAAACATTTTTGCTGAGATCTTCTTCGTTAAACACTCTTTCTTATTTCACAGTTACATACACTGTGAACTATACTACCCAATGTCAATGGAAACCACCGTTCTCTTATAACCACTGTCGCATGGAATTTAAATTCGCACAAATAGCTCCAAAACTATTTTTCCCCCCTTTTCTTATAAAACTCCTTAATTGGTTTCCACCATGAAATCAATAAATTACGACGACTATAATATATTGTTGTGGAGACAAGCGAATTTTTGATTATAACAACTTTTTAATAAAAAAAATTTGGAACAAATATTACACGGGCTCACAAAAAATTGTTAATTAAGTTTAAATTACTTTTCAATTTGGAAGTTTCGAAGTTTCTATTTTACAATACCATTTTAATTCATTCGAATACTATAAAAAAATTATGAAAGTCTTGAGCAGATATACATTTACATGAATATAGAACAAACATGCATAAACTGGCGTTTTCCATTTACTAAACGTATTTAATAATTTATAGAATTTTAATTTCATAGCCCTTTTTACCGAAAAGCTTTGAAGTGTGTTTTATTTTCTTAGTACACCTGCCACACGCAACTCATTAATATTATAATTTGAAAGCATATATGTATAACGTATGCATATAAGCACGTGTAGCACACCTTAAAACCCGTTAAACTAAATATCGAGCCTCCCACTACAACACCACACTATTCGCAACTCTCCAAAAGCAAAATCTAAAAAAATCTAAAAAATGAACAACACTGACGGCAACGCTCAACAAAAGCCACACAGCAGTCAAGACCTATCGCGTCACCTCTTCTACTGCAGCCGCTGCTATTTTGTTTTTTTTTTACCGCCGCTCTGTTGTTTTGCTTTCTTTCCGCTGGACGCTTGTGTGTAAAACAATGCGGGCACAGCTCCAACTGGAGCTTCAACTCAAGTTCCAATTACCAATCTACAATTTACACAACACACTCATTTCCAGTGTGACTTCAGTAATGCTTTACAATTCACAGGCGACGGATCGGCGGTAACGACAACGAAATCAACGAATGTAAAACGGGTTAAAACGTCAACAAGAAGTGTTATTAACAGTGACAGCAACGCAGGGCAATCGATTAATGTCATTGCTGCTGGTAATTGTGGTTTAACAAAGCCACAAAGGTACACAAATCATAGGGAGAAGGGAAAAGGTGAAATTAATGAACCAGTGGATCAATGCGTTGACAGTGGAAAATCTGTTGAATTCAATTCAAAAAGCGCAGAGAATGTGAAAAAAGTGTGCGTTCGTAAGTTTGTCGTACAAACGGAATCGTGGAAAACGGCGAATGCCATAAAACGTGTTGAAGTTCAATATCGAGAGCAAACAAAAGAACAAAAGGTAACCGAAGGAGAAGAAGAAGAAGAAAGTGAATACAATAAGCCGGTGGGAGCTGAACGTGCAAGGGCACGCAAAGAAGCCACAGGTGGGCAAAAGGAAATAAAAGGTTAAAATCATGGTAGTGAATCAGAGATATAAAAGTGCATGAAAAGTACAATACATACATATAAGCAGAATGCATAATTTCGGTGTTTAGTAAAGTCATAAAAGTAGTGAAAACACATAACTAGTATATATTTAAATACATACTCATCTATGTAGATGAACATCTCATTAGTTCCATAGAGAAAAAAAAATTAAAAATAAATAAAATTAATAAAACTAATATTTATTAAAGGCAAAAAAATTATACAAAACAACAACAAAAAATTAATTAATATAATTTATTAAAATACAGTAATTTAAAATAAAATAAGCCTAAAAAATTAAAAAAAGGAAAATAAAATAAGAAATTAAATCATCATATAAAATTAACTTAACTAAAGCAATGATGAAATAGAACAAGAGAAACTAGATAAAAAGAAAACTAATAAATCAAAGCAAAAAATAAGAATAAATGAAATAAGCTAGCATAGAAAAATGCGATATAAAAAAATAAATAAATAAATAATCTAAATTAAAATTATAGGAAAAAAAAACAAAACAAAATAACATGTAAGAAAATATCATAAATAAAATGAAATAAAGCAAAATAAAATAAAACAATATAAAATACAATAAAATGAAGAAAATAAAATAAAGTAAATTTTAAACAAAAAAGCTTAAATAAAACAACAAATAAAGTAAAATAAACAAAAAAATAATTTATTTTTTAAAGCAAAATAATAATACAATATGAAATAAATTAGAATTAAATTAAATAAAATAAGGCAAAACAAATAAAATTGAAATAAAAGAAGTAAAATAAAACAACGTAAAGAAACTAAATCAAATTAAATAAAATTAAGCCAAATAAGAAAAATAAAATAAATTAAAATAAAATAGGATAAAAATAAAATAAGAAACAAAGTAAATTAAAAAATAAAATAAAATATAAAACAAATTAAAATAGAAATTAATAAAAGAAAATAAAGTAAAATAAAAAAAGAAAAAAAATTAAATTAAATTAAATAAATTAGATAAGGTAAATTAAAACAAAGTAAAATAATGTTTTACAAAATAAAATAAAATAGAATTTAATAAAGAAAAATGGACAAGAATAAATATAAGGTTAAATAAAGTAAATTAAAGTAAAATATAGAATTAGAATTATTACATTTGAATATATTAAAATGAAAAATTAAAAAATCAGTTAAAAGAAATGAAATTATAATAAATTATTTTAATTTAAAATAAAATAAATTAAATTAAATGAAATATATAAAATGAAAAAAAATTTAAATTAATTTAATTAAATTTAATTAAAATTAAAGTTAAATAAATGTGATTTAAATTAAATGAGATACAAAAAAATAAAATAAAGTCGTATGAACGGAAATAAGGTGACTAATAGTAAGTAACTTAAAAGAAAATATTGGAAACTAAAATAAAACGAAATAAAATAAATTTATTGAAATAATGAGTAATATAAAATTATACGACATTTAAATGATATAAAAAAGTGAAGCAAATTTCATTCAGTGACTATTTAGTGCTATACTCCCTGCCTCCAAATTTCCGTGGCATTACCATTCATACATATGTACATACATATATTTTCATATGTTCTTGCTCTCTATGTACCTACATAACTATAAACACGTCAAAATATTTAGCTGCCACTTATTTCGTTTTGGTCATTTTACAGCCATGTCATGTTGCACGCAACCTCCTCCGCAGTTCACCGACTCTGCTGTACGAATTCCAGTTCCAAGCGAGTAACCACTAATAGTCTACCAACATAGTTAATATACATATGTACATATAAACATAAGTACATATCTATGTACTCGTATGTATAAATGCATATTTTGAACTGGAACGTGTATGTTTAGCGCTTGAGCGCGTCCCTAACCCTAGCAGACGAGTACAAATAAAATCGTCATAAGCTTATTTTTTACGGTATTCTTCGCATGGAAATTGAAGAGATATATATATATGTATTTTTTCATATGTACAAATGAGTGTAAATAAAAATATTACGATTGCCATGCTGCAGTCACACACGCGACCTTAGCCTGTCTGCTGACGACCTTAGCACGTTTCCGGTCATTTTTTAACGTCTCATATTTTTCTGATTTATTCTTTAAGAAGCTTACTACACGCTTACTACAACTTTCTTTTATTGTTAAAAGAAGAAACATAAAAATAATAGCAATAGCACCCTACTTTCCCTTCTCAAAAATTTCAAGCCGGTCAAAATAATGATATTTCTTCCGTCGATTTTTTTCGATGACTCTTCGCTAGCCCTTTTTGCTCTCAGCTCGTACCCTATTTCCATTGGAATATATGTTTTTTTGCTTTTATTTTCCACATATGTAAATGTACTCAACGCTCTCTTCGAGCGCTGGAAACGAGTTTTTTTTGTATTCTTTCTTCCCCATTGTCTTTTGGCTGCTGACTTTTGTTTACGCTGCCGCTGTCACCGCACGTCCGCAGCTGAAAGTCTCTATTTGTGATGTGTGGGTTACACTACGTTTTTTCTCAACTTTGAAGTAAAATATAACAATATGAACCACAGTGTATACATACATATATACGTGTATGTACATACGAGTATAACAGCGTATAAGAACACATCTATAAATAATGGTTTTCATAAATTGACTACAAATTAAAAGCTCGATGTCATAAATCTTTGACTTTAATTGTTTATTCCAAACATATGGTGGTACATAGTAAGATTGATTGTAGACGTGCAAGTATTTGAAATATTTGTACCGTTTTTTTTATTTTTTTTATTTTGGTAGGTCGGCCTTCATGCCCAACGACAAGTACTTGTGTACCAGTACGTAAAAAGCTGTAATGCCTATAAATAAATTACTCGCATCATTCTATAGCCGAAAGTGGTAACTGAAGCTGAGGAGATACACACATATGTGCATACATATAAATTGTCTGAATGAAAAACCCTTCGCTGAGTTTCGGTTTACCAATGTGTTCTAGAAGTTTTTCACATAGGAATCTAAGCCCTCTCGCATGATTTCGATTGAGCAACCACTCAGGGCGCTCACTGACGCACAGAAGTCTATCTGGTGTAGGAATGAAGAGTTTCGCAACAATAAAAATTAAATACTGGCCACAAACTGAGCTAAAGTGAGTCCCACATGTTCAAAATAAGTCGAAAGGGCACAAGTTCCTCTTTAACACATTAATATCTAGTATTTTCCTGTTATTTCGATATTATAAGTTGCCGCGTAATCGCTTCAGCGTTTACAGGACGCCAATTAGATACATATATATATATATATATAGTTTAATTCGAAAATACCTCGATATTAATGAGAGAAAGGTCAAGAATTTAACTTGATTTTCCAGAACGCCATCTGCGTAAATACCGAAATTCGTTTAAAACACGCTTCGAGTAAATGGATCTAATGTCATCTACTGCCTGCGGAATTACTCTAACGCAGTCAAAGAACCTTAAATTCAGAAGAGAATATTTAAGACATTTTTATTAACAAAGTGCTTATCTCATCCTCCTATCGAGTATTCCACTTAACATCTAAGTCTTCATTTAAAAGGAGGTATTAGTGGCCACTGAGTCTGCCAAGCCGAACTGTTTGAAGCCAAAAGTTTCGATTATCTACGTTCCGAGAAAAACCAAAACCATTTTCTGCTATCACGTTTCATTCGTCGTTATAACCATTTAGTGTTCTCAATGAAACTGCTTATAATCCAACAGTGGATTAGAGCGTTTTTATTCCAACCAAGCTCGCTGCTGGGCCAAGGGCTATTAGATGTTGATGCATGTCTTCCGAAGGGTCAGTGACCCATTACTGTGGTATAAGTCTATATATACATATTTGGCGGTCGGAAAGAGTCGAGCGATTGGCGTTAGGTACTCCCACTCGGAAGGACATGGTTCTAGTCCAAGTTCGACCAATATCCATTAATTATAAAAATAAATAAAAATAATTTTTCTAACTGCAGTTACCCCTCAGCAGAGAATATTAAGCTCTTCAATTGTATTTCTAACATGAAATAAAAAAAAACTCCTCTTAAAAATCTATTGGCCATTCGGAAATGAAAAATCATCAACGACCACCCAAATTAAGGCAGAAACTCGGATGAAAATCGTTTCATCGTTAACAAAGCTTTTTTTGTGATCATGTCATATTTGAGTCATATTTGTTCCAATTGCGGGTGAAGTTCTGTTCTGATCGTCCCAATCGGAGAGGATATTAACTCTGCTTCAGATTCGTCAAAAGTTGGTCCCGACTTGGCTAACTTGTCAGCAATTTTCTTACTGAAAATATTCTTATGGGAACGATGAATCGGCCTGTCAGCGGACTTAGAGCTTTCCTGCAATTATTACAGGCACTTGAAAACATTTATGGCATCAATAGAGGCAGCAATAACAACAATGACATCTGTCTATCCGACCATATGTTTACATGTTTACCTTGTAGCTCCTCCTTTAGATAGCTCTAATTAGCTTTGCAGATCTTTTCGCTACCTAATTTTTACGCTAGGTAGGCTCAAAGAGATATGAAGCTTAAGATATATGCCCGACTCCATTTCTGTTTCGTCAGTATAAACTGAAACGATATCGTCCTTTCTACAAAACTGTTCTTCCTCTCCCGTCTAGCGGGTTTTCTCTGCTCAAAGCAACTATTGAAATCTAACCTTGAGATAATATAGTTTGGCTTATGGAATGTAGTAAGCTGTTTTAAAATATTGCCGTGTTCAAATTGGTTTTGCAACCAACAATCGCACTCCATATGTTTTATAGCAGAACCTGCGACAACTTTTCAACTTTTGAAATCCAGAAGAAGCCTATAGGTAGCTGATAGAGGAGAAATACTGAAGCTGTCTTTGCTTGTCATTGGATTATCTATGCACTGCCCGCATATTTTATCACGAATTGGTCAGCTTACTCTGTTATGCTTCTCGTTCGGTATGAGTTGCCAATTCTCGAAGACAGACATGGCCTCATATTATAGC